CCGTATGCAAATGATTCGGCAAAAGTTGTGAGTTGGGGGAAAGTAGCAGCGACTAGTTTGCACTTGGATGTTCAAGGGGGAGAGGGAGAGAGTGCTGATGAGGGTACAGTGCACTTTCGACATCTTTGCTTCTTGCGTAGAGCTTGTGCAACTGAGGCCATCAGATTAGCGGCAAATTGTGAGGTAAATCGCCAACCTGTTGTTGTCCAAAGGTGGTCAACGACAAACGCACACAAAGCAGCATCAAGAGCAGCTGAAAAGCCTGAAGAGGAATAACCCTCAAATGAAAAAGGCAAACTAAAGTTGGCGTGAAATGGCCTTTTTCCTATAGCCTAACATGTTTACTATAGATTTGTTGTGCATAAAGCTGCCGTACCAACAAAAGTTTGGGCTAAAATTTCATTCAAACTTGAAGAACCGCAAAGTGGCAAAGTTCACCGTAGTGAGGAAGTGAATTTTTTTGCTGCCGTGTGTGTGAGTGCATGTGTGACACGACGGCCAGACTACAGCGATGAGAATATGCTCGCCAAAAGTCACAGCAGAGCGATAGAGAATTTAACAGTCGCTGATAAGACGCTGTTGCACTGAACACTGGGTGCCCAGCTGTGCACAGACAGTTTCTCTCTTTCTCTCAGCTTGACAGAGTGATCTCCGACTCGGAGACTCCGAGTGAGGGCTCTTTCCTTGAGGTCACTGGCAGACGACGGTGAAGACGGTCTGCTGTTGCCCAGTCAGAGGTCATTCGCACTGCGCTGAACAGAAGACAGGGCACCTCACTGCTGCTGATGCTGCTAAGCAGCTAGACTGGATGACACCGGTTGTCTGCTCTGATACTGCTGCTGCTGTTGATGCGGGCCATCTCGTAGCTCAAGCGCTGACCGTCAAACATCATCCGTCTAACAGACAGCTAAATCATAGCACTGTACTGCACTATCGAATGAGGAACTACAAAAAGGACACTGTGGTCATTGGGTAGACACCACTGGTCACTGAGGACAAAGGTCACAAGGTGATAGACTGAGAGATGGGAAAACAGTCAGACAGACGCGGTCACGTCACTGGAGAAAAACAGACAGTCACAGACAGTCGTACCTGAAAGGTGATTTGGTGTGTAGCTGCAGCTGCTGCTGCTGGTCATCTTTACTGGTGTCTTCAAACTAGTTTTACCAGTTGGTTGTGAGGTGCACAGGTGCTGAAGGTGATGGCGGCCAAGTCCAAGGTGAAGTGGCGAGGTACTTCTCTCTGTTGTAGAAAGGTAATGTAGATGTTGATGATGGCGATGATGATGATGATGATGCTTGCTCATGGTCAATGAAGAGCATAATTAATGCTGCTGCTGCTGAAGAGAGTCGGAAGATTCCACTAAAGGCGATGGTGGTGAAAAAGAAGAAGCTGCTTGCCACAAGGTCAGCGGCGAGACGTGACCGGCGCACTTGACAACCAGCGAGCGGGCAAAAAGCAGCCGAGAAAACAAGCCAGCCAGCAAACCAGCCAGTCTGATGGCCGATGACAAATGGCCAAAAAGGAGACACACTGTCTCTCTCGCTCTATCTTTTTGTTTGTGCACCGAGACACAGAGTGTATGAACAAAGTACAATGGTAAATTACCCGATGCTTATACAGATGCGATTAGTGTAGACTGCGCTGCCTCTAGTGCACAAACCATTTACCACCAGCCACAATTGTCTCAATGTCAGCTTCAGTTTCTTCTTCTCCAGTGGTCATCTCAATTAGTCATGGATGAGTGTAATTTGTGGAAAGCAGCAGATTGCCAACTCTGTTGTGGTCGACTCTATTTGTTTGTACACTATTATACTTTGTTTCCAACAACTGGCAGAAACTACCAGAAACAACAACAAAAAAATAAAAAGTACACTTCAGTTTGATTTAAATAAACGAGAGCGAGTCATCACTCTTCTTTTTATTCAAGAAAAGTTGTGATGGTCATCATCATCGTCGTCAAATTATAATATAAGAGAAATTATTATTAATCATAATATAATATACTTCTCAAAAGTGGTAAATCAATCATCAAATAATAAATAATATACAAGAAAAGAAAAAAAGATTGCTTTAAAAAGGAATAGGTACAAATAGGAGACAAAAGAGAGAGGAAGTTGATAAAAGAAAGATGAACGAGAACAAAAAAAAGAGAAGAGGATAAGAAGAGGAAAAAGGTAAAAGAATGAAAAATAGAAAGAGAAGGGGCGTAGAAGAGGAGTAAGGAGAGAGAGAGAGCGAGCAAGGTACAAAGTAAAACAAAGTGTGAGAATGCACCAAAGTGAGAGATATCGTAGAAAGTCAGTTTGCCGGGGCTCACAGAGCGGCGGAAACTGCTGCGGCTGCTGCTGCTCTTGTTGCTGGTCTCAGAAGATGAAGAAGTAGTTATAAAGAAGAAGAAGAAGAAGTGTGTGTACAAAAGAGGGGGGAGAAAGTTAGTGCATAACCACAAAAAGGTGTGGCTACAAAGTGGGTGGGCGGCTCTGAAGAGAACGTCCAGAAACGGTTGCTTGCTTGGAGGGTTCTTGTGGTGTGAAAATTGGAAAAATTTAAAAACGCTAAAGTGAAGGAGAAAGCGAAAAAGAGTAGAAAAGGGTTTGTGTGATTTGCCGTAGTGGAAAAGAAGCAGAAGGTGGTAGAGGTGGCTGTGAAAGTGACAGATTATTGTTGTTTATCAGCAGGTATAGGAAAGCAGTATTNAGAAAAGGGTTTGTGTGATTTGCCGTAGTGGAAAAGAAGCAGAAGGTGGTGGAGGTTGCTGTGAAAGTGACAGATTATTGTTGTTTATCAGCAGGTATAGGAAAGCAGTATCAATGCAAAGGAGAGAGGGAAAGAGAGTAGCAAAGAAGAGTAGCGAAGCAGGGTCAGGAATATCACTGGAGCAGAGACATCTTCAAATCGGATCTTGTTATCAGTCTCTGAAACGGTGTAAAGGAGAGAAAGAGGTGTGTGGGTGTGGGTGTGCAATGCTTTAGCATCAAAAGAGTGAGAAAGAGAGAGGGAGAAACACTTGGAGATCACGACGAGCAGATAGAGAAAGAGAGAGAAAAAGAGCGTTTCAGGCAAGAGAGATCCGGACTGGTGGTGGTGCTGAAAGGTGCGTGCCACACACACACTTGGCTGGTGGTGATATTCATGATACTGGTGGTGGTGGTCTTGATGGTGGTGGTGGTGGTGGAAAAGGATAATTATGTTGAGAAGTTGGTCACGCAATCTCGGGTGGTGAGAGTAAAAAAGAGAAGTAGAAATCGTTGTTGTTGAAAAGTAGCAAAAAGTTTCCAGCTTTAAGTGATAGTGTTGATTTGTTTTTGAGTATAAAGATGTTTCGTGTTCCGCTTCGAGTGCTCCTGAATCAATCAATCAATCATCAACTCTTGAAACTTTTGTTTTGTGTAAAGAGGAAGAAGAAGAATTGTGTTGTGGTTATTGCAGCAGTGCCGAGTCATCACGAGTGAAGAGAAGGAAGGGAAGGAGGGAGGAGGGAAGATGGAGGGAGAAAGGCAGGAGAATCAGACTGGTGTATTGCAACGGGGGGTTCCAACGAGGAAGGAGAAGAGGAGAGGAGAAAAGATTCAGTGCAGTGATCCATTCCTTGATCTTGCCCCTTTCGGGTTTTCTTCAGTAAACGACCAAAAGAAGATAGTTCAACAAATAAACAAATAGTAGAAAGAGGCACCCTTTCTTCTCTAGGTGATGTTCCGCTGAGCGAGGGCAATCTCCGCCAGCGCCGCCAGTCCGTCGCACTGGTTGATGGAGCCCTCGCGGTTGATCACCGAGTAGGTGCTGGTGGTGGGCGGCGGTGGTGGTGGTGGCGCCTGTTGTACGGCAGCAGGTGGAGACAACTGCTGCTGCTGCAGCTGCTGATGATGATGGTGAAGTCCACCGATGGAGGTGATAATCTGCTGCTGCTGTCCAGGGAGCAGGGGGTGATTCGGTGAGGAGGTGACAATGAGCTGGGCACCGCCCCCGCCAGCGGCAGCCACCGCAGCGGCCAGCTGACCACCGGAAAGCGTCAGCGTCGTCGGCGAGAGGTGATATGCTTGGGTGGCTCGCACGCCGGCGGCACCGGTCAGCTGAGAGAGCTGATGCTGGGGAAGGTGGTGGTGATGGAGGTGATTCAGCTGACTCAAATGAGGGTGTTGCAGCTGGTGGTGGTGATCACCAGCAGCGGCGGCGGCAATCATGCTCAGGTCGACGGGCTTGTTCAGCTGTCCCTGAGCAGACTGCTGCTGCTGGCCACGAATGATCAGCGGCAGGAGGCTGCCGTCGACTGTCTGCACAGTGCCGGCAGTGCCGGGCGGCACCGGGCCGGTGTTCGCCAGCACCACATTGGCGCCGGCTATCGTCTGCCCGGGGGCGAGCTTGATCAGCACCGAGGAGGGGCTCACCTGCATTCGCTGCTGCTGACCACCGTTTGCGGCAGTGGCAGTCGTGGTGACCAGTCGCAGTGGAAGCGAAGTGGCCGTACTCTCACCGGCACTGGTCAGGTGCAGTGGAATGTGCTGGTGCTGGCCTAACAGAGTCGATGCTGATGATGAAGGTGGTGGTGGTGAATTAGTGTGCTGCAACTGGAGCACCGTCGTAGCACCCCCTCCTTTTCCTCCATAAACTGCGTTGGTACTCTTCAGCAGCTGCTGCTGCGCCGCCGAGGTGGTAATCACAGAGGTGGGAGGAGATGGTGAAGTGTTGCTCGAAACCATGATCAGTCCCGAGGGGGTGGTGGTGGTGGGCGGTGTGCTGCTCTTGACCACCGCCGCCGCTGCTGTTGTTCCATTAGCAGCAGNCAACTGGAGCACCGTCGTAGCACCCCCTCCTTTTCCTCCATAAACTGCGTTGGTACTCTTCAGCAGCTGCTGCTGCGCCGCCGAGGTGGTAATCACAGAGGTGGGAGGAGATGGTGAAGTGTTGCTCGAAACCATGATCAGTCCCGAGGGGGTGGTGGTGGGCGGTGTGCTGCTCTTGACCACCGCCGCCGCTGCTGTTGTTCCATTAGCAGCAACCCCAGCTCCATCATGAGCATTGCGCATATGCAGTGCATTAATGAGATGCGTGTCGGCCAGTTGCGGCAGTGCCCGAATGTGCTCCTCTAGGTCGAAGCCGCCGCTGACAAACTTCGACGACTGGTGGTGGTGCTGATTTGCGCCGCTGTTCAGCTGTTGAAGCTGAAGCTGCTGCGCCTGCTGCTGACTGGCCGAAGCCTGGTGGGCGAGGATGATCTCACTGACGCCGGTGACGATGCCGTTGACGCGGTTGCGCTTGTTGGGCGTCGTGTCCGGGCTGCTGCTGGCCTGGCTCACTGTTTTCAGAATGGCCGCTGCGGTGGCAGAGGTCACCGGAATCTTCACCGGTGATCCACCACTGGTATTTCCACCTCCATTCTGCAGCACCTCCAGCGGTCTCTTGTTGCCGTTGTTGCTGCTGCCAAAGCTAACCACTGGAATCGAGGTGACGGCAGCGGCGGAGCTGCTGCTGGGCACAATCTGCACCAGCTGCTGCTGCTGCTGCTGAACCGGACTTCCATTTGGAGCAATGGCCGCTGCGGCCACCGCAGCCACTCGCTGCAGACTAAAGTCCTTTGGCACGAGCACCAGTTTGGAGGCGCTGGTGGTGGCCCCAGCACCAGCACTCGGCAACGACTGAGAGTTCTGATGCACCAGAGCTGCTGAGTTGCTGCTGCTTATAAAGGAGGTGCTGGTGGTGATGGGAGTGGTGGCGGGGATAGAGGAGGCGGAGGAAGAAGGTGCACCGCCAATATTATCAGTCGTCGTGGTCAAATTCACTGGCAGTCCACCAGCACCACTACCATTGCTGGCAGTAGTCATCACCGCTGACGATGGCGTCGAGGGGGCGGCGGCAGCGGCCGAAGCGGCCGTCGCCGCGGCAATGGTCACCGCCGGCTGCGGCTTCAGTATAATCTGACTGTTGGTCGATTCTGCAGAAAGTAAATCAAAACAAAGTCATTAGAAACATTAGAAATGATAAGCACAAACACAAACAAAACACTACCTCTGAAGCGCGCCCCGGGAGCATTCGCCTGATTGGCGTAGCCGTTGTTCTTGCACACCATGCCGGTGTTGAGAAACTTGTCAATGTAAATGTCGATGATCTGCTGGTTGGACGCCTGGTAGACGCGACTGGTGCCGGCGGTGGCAGCGGCGGTGCTCGAGCTACTGTTGCTCGCGGAAGCCGTGGTCGTGGTAGCCGGCACCGTCGAGGTGGCGCTCAGATTCAGCGGTTTATCATCATCATCGTCCTCATCGTCGTCCTCGTCAGAACGAGCTGCCACGCCCACAGTGGGCGCGCCCATCACAGTACGAGCCTGATGCTGCTGCTGATGGATCATCATTGCCTGCTGCTGTTGCTGGTTCTTCATCGCCTCCGCGGCGGCCATGTGAAGCTCCATCTCCTCGTCGGAGGCAGTGTCGCTGCCATTGTCCGTGTCGAGGATTTGCCTGTTTGCTCCAAAGCCTCCTTGATGCATCGGTGATCCATGATGAGCAAGCAGAGTAGAGCTTCCATTGGCAGCACTGCTGTTCTGCTGTGCGGCCGCCTTCGCCATGGCGAGCATCGCATTGGCCGCCTTCATCTCCGAGTTGCTCTGCACAATCTCAATCAGGTGGCCATTGCTGGCGATGGAGGTGGCCACGGGCATGGCTGCCGCTGCTGCTGCTGCTGCAGACACAGCTGCGGTAGTTCTCTGTGGTGATGGTCCATCAGTCCGTCGGTCATCAAAGAGCGACGTGTCAAAGGTAAGCCCGCCAATGGCGGACTTGGTCTGGCTGGCGGCCACTCGCGAGGCGGCGTCGCTGAAGCTGCTGCTGCCGGGGCCCAGGCGGCTGGCGCTGGTCCCGCTCAGGCCCAGCGCCAGCTGCTTCTCAATCACCAGCGAGGCGGTGTCGTCGTCCAGCATCAGCGGGCCGCTCAGCAGCTTGTACTTGGAGTTCGGGTTTGCAGCAGTGTTGGTGGAAGTTGATGGAGCAGAGGCAGCAGAGTTGTTGTTGACATTCTGACTGCCGATGATGGCGCTGCTGAACAGCTGATGTGATGGTGGTAGTGGTATTGCACTGTGTGGCCCGTTTGAGTGAATTGCCGCCGCTGCTGCAGAATTGCTGCTGCCACTCGAGGTGATTGATACACCTCCTGATGATGATGATGATGCTAGTGTCGCTGGGACGTTTGATTTGTCTGTAAAAAAGGTGAGTGTTTTAGAAACCGAATTGCAAACACCAAAAAAGTAAACAAGGAAACTCACTTTTCGTGTAATCACCACCGCTCGATTCTAGACTCTCCAGGTAGCGCTTCTTGGGCGGCAGCTTGGGCGTACTGGAACTGGAACCATTTCCTCCCATCGATGAAGAAGAAGCAGAGGTGGGTGAACCTGCCGAGCCGGCCATCATCGAGGAGGAGTGCTGCGGTGAGGAGGAGGCAGAAGTGGTCGTGGTCGGCGGCGTGACAAAGACCGGAAAGGCGACCACCGAAGAGGGCCCTACGACGAGTGGCGCCTTGCCAGTGCCGCCAATGCTGTTCGCCAAAAGAGCCGCCTTGTTGTTGTTCACCACAGCTGCATCAACTTTTGGAGTTAGGTGCTGCTGCTGCTGCACCGATGATGACTGGACAGCGGAGGAAATCGATGAAGCTGAGGATGAAGCAGCAGTTGAAGGTGGCGGCGGAGGCGGTCTGAGCTCCGTAGTCTTGTACCACTTAAAGTGCGGATTCGCCTTCATGAAGGCCTCCTTGTACTGGCGCGCCAGGTCGGTGTAGTTGTGCTTCTCCTCGGCGTCCAGAGCGGCCCACCACTCTCCGAGAATCTTGGTGATGGAGCGGTTCTCCAGGTGCGGGTACTTCTGGCGGACCACCGAGCGGTGGCGCTTGCAGAAGATGAGAAAGGCGTTCATCGGCCGCTTCTGCGCCTGCTGACTGGACACGGTGCTCGCGTCGGTGGAGGAGGGCGGCGGCAGTAGGAGGGCGGTGCTCGAGATGAGGGTGCCGCCGTTGGGGAGGGAGGAGGAGGAGGAGGCGGAGGCGGAAGCGCTGGTGGACACTGCGCTCTGGACTGCCGCAACGGTGGTCGTTTCTGAGGAAAGGGAAAGTCAAAGGTTAGCCATTGTATGAGCATTTGATTCTGATGAATCCCAGCACTTACGATTATTAGATGACTTGAGAGCGGCCACCACCGACAGTGCAGGGATGATTGCCGGTCGATTGCTGCTGCTGGTGGTGGTGGTAGCAGCAGAAGTCGAGGCTGCTGGTGTACTACTACTAGTAGTGGCAGCGGAAGTAGCTGAACTGGAGGTGGTGGTACTAGCTAAACTACTGCTGGACGAAGTTGATGAGGAGGAGGTGGTGGTGGCAGCAATAGAGGAGGAGGAAGAAGAGGAAGATGGGGAGGACCTTGAGGGCGAGGAGACCGAGGCGCCCACCGATGCGGCCAGCACCATCATCAGCCCCTCGGTGGCGCTCTCCTGACTGTGCTGGTGGTGGTGAAGACCGAGGCCACCGTTGACGAGCACCGGTTGTTTGGGCTCTCTTTCAGAGGTATCGCCACCACTTCTGCTGGACGGTGGTGGTGAGCTGTGGGTGGGCGGACTGCGGGCAATGCTGTTATCACCACCGCCGGCTGCACCATTGCTGCTGCTGTTCTCACCATTGCCATTGGGCACGGCCACCTTGGGCGCCATCATGCTGTCAGTCCCGCTGCTAAAGGGGGGCACTGATGAGGACGATGAGGAAGATGAAGATGATGAGGAAGAGGAGGAGGAAGAGGGCGACGAGGAGGACAGTGAAGAGCTAGGAGACGATACAGCATGACCAAGGTGAGACTGACTGGTGATCGCTGGTGTCGAGGACAGTGTTTCCTGAAAGAAGCAAAAAACGGTTGTTTGGTTAGTTGAATGCTTGGTGCTGATGACAAATTCAGACTGCAGAAAAAAAGGTCGGGACAAAATGATTGTCCAAAATGTCTGAGAATAGGCCGCAGAAAGTGAGCGAGCGAGCGAGCCAACACAAAGAGACTGAGCAGGCACAGCGGCCCCTGGGCCCTAAGCAACCGCAACAGCAGCGTGGCCACAGTAGAAAGGGTAACGGATTGAGGCACTTGGACACAGTGGGAGGAGCTCTCATTGAAGAACGAGGGTCCCTTTTAGCCAGTGAGGGAACAACTGCGTTAGAGAGACTGGGCAGAGATTTAAAGGGCACAGAAGAGAAGGCAAAGGGGACACAACTACTCACATGGCCGCGGGCCGTCAGCGAGAGCGGAGCAGCGCAGACGGGGACCATAATGAATGTAATAAAGGTGAAGTGCGGCGATTGAAGAGAGAGAGAGAGAGAACCTGCAACTGCGAGGTCCACCTTGGCCCACCACCACCACCGGACTTTTGCTTTCACCGAGCAGAGACAATGCAGAGGAAGAGGAAGAGGGGGCCACCACAATGTCACAGTAGTAGCTTGTGGGAACCGAGACTGACTGACTGAGGGGG